TTAAAAATAAAAACGTTGATATCTATTCGAGAACTATCCTCTCTCACTTCCTCGAGCAAACTACTACTCGCAACCCATTTTATTTCCAACTAGCTCGTATTTCAGTATTAAGCTTGAAGAAACGACGAGTTTACGGTTGGCCACGTAAACTTGCGACCTCTGTCATTCTTAAACGATTGATACTTCCTTTCTTTTGTTTTTTTTTTTCCTTTTTTTTAAAGTTACGTCCTTGTCTCTAAAAATCTGGAGCATATATTATTTTTTGTTTGTATAGATGTCTACGTATATAGGCTGTTTTCAAATGTGTGAGAAAAACTTTAGGAATGGTTTTAATACAAATTTGGATGCAAGGTCATATCGGGCATATAATTATATGCTTTGTTTTTTTATCTTATTTCTTTATAGGCACTATTTTGTGGCTATATATTTTGAAACAAGGATGCTTCATATTATATATATTTAATACTTATTTATATATTTAATTATATATTACAGTAATATATTATTTTTTGCTTATATATACACACATCCATATACAAAAATATGGATATTTATATTTCTTGACAGTTATCGTTAAAATGTCGTCGTAAAACACCTAACAGACGTCATAAAAGTAAACAACAAAGCAAGCAAAGAGCTCATCTACAGCCTTGATGTATATAAAACAATCGTTAATACACGTTTTTCTCAGATCGAAATAATGACGACGGTGAAAGATTAAAAGCTCCTTTCAAGCGAATCGTAAATATTTTTAACGTTGATGATTTCCTTGCACTGCTGCTCGTTAAGACTTTTCCTTTTTTTTTTTTCTTTCTACCTAACATTTCATACCTATATAAAAATAATAATAATAATAATAATATTATTATTGACGTTGAAAATTATCTGGCGTAGGTGAAATTAAATGAAATGTACTATCGAAATGATAGAATTTAATAAAATATGATTAATGGTATCCAGATGATCAAATGTAAATCCAATAAAAGATGATAAATGATCATGGAATGAAATAAAGTCTGTATATCGTAATAAACGTTTATGCGAATGATTTTGTAATTAATGTTTAGTGTGATGTCTCGTCTCGGTTTCATTTAATATGTAAAAACGATTGACGTGTGTCTATTGTATTATATATATATATAATATATCTATCTTATCTTAATGGTTTCAATCATTTAATTAGATATTTTCTAATGTTTTAAAACAGAGCGTGACAGTTTTGCGTGTTCATTATGGTTGATTGTTCAATAAGAACTACGGAAACATTTTTTTTCATCAACGTGTTTACGAATGTACGTTGGTATTAAATGTTTCTTTTTTTTTTAATAATTTGTTCATGCTTCTCGTGTCAGTCACGAGATTTTTAAATTTGTTAGATGTTAGATGTTAATTTTGTTTTGTTATTGCATATGTATTATTTTATATGATTTGCAGTATCGGTTCTCATTTCGTACGTATCCTAGTTATAGTGACCCAAAATCGATGAAGAGGAATTGGTGTTAAGTGTGTATGCATTATTATTGATTATTATATTTTTTAATAAATTGAGTAAATATCGGTACGTTAGATATACTGTGTTAAAATTATTAATAAAGATCTATCGTTGTAAAATATTAATGAATTGAACTGTTCGTTAATACTTATTTTTTGGTTGTGTGGATTATTTGTGTATTATGTATTGTAAATAATAAATAATGATTGTAATCAAATAATAATTAATTAAAATATTCGTTACAATTTATCCAGTTTATACTATTTTTACTCAAATAAAAAATTAACCTTGTAAAGTATATATTAATCATTTTGAAATCTTGAATATTAATTTTGTATTACTCCTCCGAACGCGATATTCCGTATTAAAAAGATAAAATCATTTTTGTAATTAAAATGAGACAAAGTTCACGCGAGTGTTAGTTAATATTTAATATAATTGGAGAATAGAGTAATATCGAGTTTTTTAAAATTAGAAAAAGATAGAGAGAAGATATTGAAAATCGTGGGAGTTGAAGGTAAAATATGCGAAGAAGTTTGAAATTGAATCGCCGTCGTAACTTTACGCGAGACGGAAAAATCCGTCGATATTACGAGCCAAAAGCGTGGTCTAAAAATCTAATATATAAAAAGAGAGATCGAGAAAAGTCTCGATAGATTTGTCACATTCGTTTGGAAAACTCTCTCTCTCTCTCGTTTTAATAATTATATCTACGTTTACAAAAAAGATTAAAAAGTATGTTATTTTTCAATATTTTAAAATGATTTTATACCGGATAATTACCAACGTTATTTTTCTTCATCATATGTTTGCAAACTGTAAATAAAAAACGTGTGTACCGAACCGCGTGAAAAATCTTTATATACGTGTAAATCAATTTTTGTTCTTTATTTTCACAACTATTTAATCAAATGAATATTTCTATTTTTTTTCTTAAAAGAAAAAAAAAACAATTCTTCGACGAAAAAAAAAAAGAAACAAATTGTAATTTCATATAATAAAATATAAATATAATATTAAATATTTATTTAAATAACTACACACATATTTTTTCATTAGTGAAAGTAATAATTCTAATAAGTAATAGTAATTATTATCGATTATAACAAATAACTATCTTCAATGCACAAGACGTGACTTTGATTCAACGAAAATTAGCAATCGAGTTAGAAGTGTACTTTGCAAATTGCAACTTTCTCAGAGAAGTTTCCTCTCTTTCTCTCTCTCTCTCTCTCTTTCCCTGTTTTCAAAGTACTTGGAAACTCAAGGGTAAGAAAGTATTGTATACCAAAGTGCAACATAGTAAGCTGTACAACTACTGTTTCCCATATATCTATATACATATGTATATATAACATAAAACGAAAAGGACTTTTGAGTTTACTTGCATCTTCACTCGATCCCTTTTTCCTTTAAGGCACTTCAATCCTGCCGAATCGATTTGAATTTATTTTCTCTCTTTCTCTATTTAAATCACCAAATCACTTTGGATCCTAACCAACACATACATACATACATACATATATGTATCATCCTATAGATATCATCAAATTTGGATTATCTCTCATTGTCAGAATGATTAAACGATGAAAAGGCTAGGAAATGTATTAAAGCAACCCTAACATCCACTCACCCACCTATTCACAAACACACACGCATATGATCCCAGTGCGTTAAATTCACGTATTAGGAAATTCGATATATTCCACTAAGAGTTACCGTATAGTAGCATAGACGATAATTTACGAGCCTGTATTAGCCATACACACACACACAAACATACGTACACACATATCTCTTTAGTTACGTGGTTTCTCTGTACATGTGTGTGTTTAAAGCCGAGCTAACCATACTACTTCGAATTCCATTGGAATTATTTTAGAGAAATTACCAACTGTTCCCCAATATCTATACACATACACATATGAACATACCTAAACCTACATATATTTAATACACGTGATTATTGATCATATATGGTAAAGTTTAGGATGATCAAAATCTAGTTCGAATTTCTTGTTATCCACGAAATATTCATATAATCGATGATATGCGATCGCTATTCAACGGGGGTCGGGAATCAATTATCCATTTTCTATTAGTGCAAGTTCCAGGCTTGCTCGTTCGTCTTGCTGTCGGTATACTACGCCTTCTATTCTCTTTCTCACTTGTTCCCTCACATTCACTCCCATTCTCTCTTCCTATCTCTTATCTTGCCTGCTTTAAGCTTACTTTGGTATTCCAAGGTCACACCAACAAGATATAGAACCTAATGGCATATCTTATCGAGATTCGACGATCTCTCTCTGTTTCTTTCTCACTCTCTCTCTTTTTGTCATCCTATCCCTTCCTCCTACTCAATCCCCTTCATCTGCTTTCTCTCTTATTCTGAGACTGCAATTTACCGGTACTATCTTTGAGTACTAAACGGTAATAGGTATCAGCTGTTACTCGGGCTAATCTCTCGTCACTTTCGTGATAGGGCAAACGAATATTTCCTAATGTACTAATAATAACGCATATATACTCGGAATTATAAAAATATACTAATATAAATCTTATTTTAATATATTATAAAAATTAATTTCATAATATTGTAGAAAAATGGTGTGGTTTTAATATAAAATAAATTATAAAATTAGTTTTTAAAATATTATTATTTGATTTGGATTACTTTCATAATTATTATATTTATTTGATATGTACATACATTTATTTTATGATTTATTTTATATTTAAATGTATTTTAATAGCAAAGTAAATGATAAAATTACCTTTTTTTCTATTTTTTTTTTTTCCCCACTTACGTTAAAACACTTTCATAATTATCGGGGCGTTTGTTTAAGAAGACGAATCTTGTCTGATTAAATTTAATTTATGCGAGAAGAAGAGGTAAAAATAAACGAAAAGGGAAGGGAAGGAAATGAAAAAAAATAACTACCGATCTTATCTGTATACTTACATGACGCGACATGTATGACTTTCAAGTTACACTTCTCCTCGTATATTATGTCGTCTTACTTGATAAAAGTACGTGACAGAATTTATTTTTACTCGTTTATTTATTTATTTATTTGCTTATTTATTTAATTATCCTTGAGTTTGATCTTTTTTTTTTTTTTTCATTTTCCTTTATTTCATTTTTTTTATATTCTTTTTTCTTCTATTTTATTCAGCAATGATACATCTTGAAAAATGGAGCTTAATTTTAAAGTATGTTCTTAAGTAGGCGTTGAATTTGTTTTCGTTATTTTTCTTTATAATAATTAGGTATAGTTACACTGCACCTCGTATATTATACGCGATGATTTAGGCACTTTTGAACGTACACTCACACATAATATATATA